GTCATTAAAGTGTCCCTAAAAATGAGAAACAATGCTTTGAAATGACAGAGCTCAATTCTGTAAGGACCCGTGGGTGTATGCCACCCCGGTCCAGGTGCTTTATTCACCTTTATTATGTCTAAGTATTTTTGGATCATATCACTTGTGAGCCAATGTCGATCATCTGGGGCTTTGTCAATACCATGTCCATTATGGACAAGAGCTCCCCCATGCTACTTTGTATACACAGAGCTGAAGAAGGTATGGTGTGGGGGATATTTTCTTGACACTAGTAAGGTGTACCTAATAAAGTGGCCTGTGAGTGGATATTGTGTGTGTATGGCTGCATAGTATACAAATCCTACCTTTCTGCAAGCTTGTCCCTGCACACAACTCTGAATTTGCGGGTATTTCAGGGATGGCAGATGAGGCTGCGCGACAGTGAAGGCTCCAGTTATATCTCCAAACGTCTACTCTCTTCACTGAGTCACAAAATGACTTGTATTTTTTTTTTATACAGTAAACAAGGTGTTCCATGAATGGTGAAGGAGAGGGGACCAGAAATTGACATGTATAATATTCCCATCAAACACATTCCTGGAAAAGGCAAAAAGTAATTAGGTGCTGCAGCAACTATTAGCTGCAAATCGGAATCAAAGCCAAAGTAAAGTTGTCAGCTTGCCATGGATCCTTGAAATAAAGTGCAAGAATTTATTTGGTGATCACATCACAGTGTTAACTGCAACATTTTGGGGCCATGCAGGGCCGCTTCATCAGGCATGTGATGAGGTATCCTAAGTAGACCAGAAACATTACATTGTATGGCAATGAGGACATTTAGATGTGATGTAGGAGTGATTTTGCTTGTCCTTAACCACTAGCCGCCCGGCCTATAGCCGTTTGGCGGCGGCAAAAATGCTTCACCTTTCCGGGTGCACGCCATTTGGCATGCTCCCGCACATGCGCAGTTTGCGTGGTTGCAGAGCCACGCAGCAGCGCAATCTGTCACCGGCCGTGTACCTCGGACACGGCCGATGACAGATCTGAGTACCGGCCCCCGTTGCCGGTACCATGAGACCTGCTGTGACCAATCACAGCAGGTCACATGACAGTTGTATACAATGGATGGCTTCATTCATGCCATCCATTGTATACTAGTGCCTAGCTGTGAATGGTCACAGCTAATCACATGCACATGTCATGTGATTAGCTGTGGCCAAATCACAGCTAAGCACGAAAAAAAAAAACAAAAAAAAAAAAAACAACCTGAATTAATCGATTTCATTCTGGTAAATGCTTGCTTATAGCAAAGTAATTCTTTGCTATTAGCAAATTGTGTAAAAAAAAAAAAAAAATGCTGATCACTTCCCCAAAGTAGTACAATGTTACTATGGTAACATTGTACTACTTTGGTCATAGTAAAATATGAAAAAAAATCTTAAAAAAAAAAAAAAATGTAAAAAAAAAAAAAAAAATATATATATATATACATTTTTTTTTCATACTGTCACCAGTCAGTGTCCCTGTTCACTGCCATGCCAGTTATATGATGATGCTGTACTGCACTGCACTGGTGACAGTATGTAAAAAAAAAATAGTGAAAATAATTTTTTTAATTTTTTAATTTTCCGAAAAATTATGAAAAAAAAAAATACAACTTCAAAAAACGCGCAATTTCTCTTATGAAGTACATCGAACTGTCTACTTTGAAAAAAGGGTTATTTGGGGGGTATCTGTACTGTTCTGACATTCTTGGACCTCAAGAAATTAGATTGGCTGTCAGTACTTCAGGATTGATCAATTTTCAGATCTATACCATAGTTTGTGAACTCTATAACTTTCCTACAAACTAAAAAATACATCCTAATTTGGGTTATTTTCACCAAAGACATGTAGCAGAATACATCTCGGCCTAAATTTATGAAGAACAATTATTTATTTACAAACTTTTATAACAGAAACAAAGAAAAACGTGTTTTTTTTTCAAAATTTTTGGTCTTTTTTTGTTAATTTAGCAAAAAAATAAAAACCCCAGTGGTGATTAAATACCACCAAAAGAAAGCTCTAGTTGTGTGAAGAAAATGATAAAATTTTAGTTTGGGTACAATGTTGTATGAGCGCGCAATTGTCATTCAAAGTGTGAGAGCGCTGAAACCTGAAAAATGGCCTGGGCAGGAAGGTGTAAAAAAAAAGATTGCCCGGTATTGAAATGGTTAATATCATTGTGCCATCTATACACCAGTCAGTAATGTCTCAGCGTCTATGGCCCCTGGTATCATTTTTGACAAAACGAGTAGGATGGAGCATAGCATGCTGATGTCACTGCATCCAGCAGAAGACCTTGGGGTAGTGAGAAGAACCCAGGTGATGTCTTCCTGTCATGATGTATGAATGTCAGCAACTCATACTGAGATGGCCTAATGTCTCTGTGTGAGTGCTCTGAGGAATCTTCCTTATACATCTCTTAGATTTAGATTCCCATCCTGGTTTACTAAACTCAGAGATAACCAGAGATCCACTCACTCACTATATCTGCATCATGCATTTCCTGGGGGCACACTACTATTCATTTGTGTCTGGATGTCTCTCCCATGGGCTGGTGGGCAAAGTTTTCAAGCATCACTGTGATGATTTTTTAAGTTTCTAGATAAATTACACCCCTGAACATATTCTTTTATAGGGAGATCATTCTACTATTCTGTACAACTCATTATAATCTATAATCTCCTTGTTGGTCCCGAAGAAGCGGGAAAAAAAACACTCAAAAGAAGCGGGAAAAAAAACACTTAGCGAGGCACAGTTAGATAAGATTATATGGCTCCCACAACAGTTTAGTAAATTATCAGATAACACAAGCACTTTAACATGTAATGTTTTTAGGATTTGGGATAGAATTCATATACAAAAGGGGTGGGAATATAATTCACTGTAAATACCGTTGCGGGGTACAGAATTTTCCCCCCCTGGAAATGACAATATTGCAAGTAATTGGATAAGAGATAGAAATGCACATTTAAAAGATATTATTGATAAAGGGGAACTGTACACTTTTATAGATTTAAAAAATAAAAGTGAAATATTTTATGTGCTAGACGAGTGGCGTTACTAATCAATTAAGACACTTTGTCACAGCTCTCCTGCAGCCACTGAGGACGAGGGAAGACATGAATCCATTTGAACAACTTCTTAGTATGGATATAATGAGAAGGCATGTGGCCTCCCGCATATATAAGATTCTTACTGTTATGTCTGGAACTGTCTTTCCATCATTCTTAGAAATGTGGAAAAAACGAATTAGGAACAAAATTAAACGATCAGGAAAAAAAAAAATATTTAGTTTAACACATGGCACGGTGGACATGAACACAATAGAAATGAATTATAAATGTTTTGTTATGTGGTATGTTATACTGAGTGTGGTACATAAACAACAAACAGAGAACTCACAGTTATGTTGGAGGGGATGTGGAAAGAAGGGAATAATGGCACATATATGGTAGAATTGCCCTAAAATACAGCAATCTGGAAGGTAATAATACAAGAATCCCTAGGTTCTGGCAGGCTCAGGAAGCCCCCCAAAACCATGGATTGGATAAATAGAATAGAGTTTATATATAGAATGGAGGAGCTGTATTACAGGAGAGAGGATAAAACTGATACATTTAAGAATATTTGGGACAGATGGATAATTTTTAAAACATCTAGGAGATATTTAGATCTGGCTAATACATATATAGGAAGGTAAGGAGAGCAGAGGAGGAAAATAAGAGGCGAGGAACAGAATAGAAAACTGGAATAGGAAGAAAGAGGCATAGAATAGGAGGTGACCACTGGGGGGCAGCGGGGGGGGGGGGGGGGGGGGGGGGGGGTGAGGGTGAGGATGGAGGGAGGGGATGGACATATGTTGATATGGAGAGATATGGTGAATTGTTATATGTTTATTGATGATAAAAATGTATAAAAAGAAAGAAAGAAAAAAAAAAAAAAACCAATAAAATTAAAAAAAAAAAAAACACAAAAAAAACTATAATCTCCTTGTCAGTCCCGAAGAGGCGGGGAAAAAAACGCTAAACGTGTTGACCTATTTATATATGTATTTTGCTTTTTTTTAAATTCTCTTATCTATTAATATATGTAGACCATTTATATTTTTTTAGTAAACTTATAATAAAATCTGATTGTTTTATATATTGGTCTCTTTATGATTTGTGGTAACCAGTAGTATAACTTAAACTCCCGTATCAGAGGTGTATAGTAGTTGCTATATGCTTTTGGGATGACACTCTGGTTATACCACAAGTGATTTGGGCAATACACCATACCCAACTCTACCCAATTACTTCTAGGGCAATGTTTACTTCCCACTGTGGCCAGCTCTATGGACATCTCTATGGAATATGTAAATTATTCACATTTCCATGGCTTTCCTCTTACAATCTAATTAACCTCCTTAGCGGTATGATTATTTCAGATTTTTGGTGCTGAAAGCGGTACCATTTTTTTTGCATGGAAATATGTATTTTTTTTATTGTAGGCTGTAATTTTTAGGAAAAACTCACTGAAATCTGTCCGAACAAGAGTCTAGTAAACATCCCGGGTATGATAAAATTTGAAACACAAAATCATAAATTATAATTTAATAAATAATCATAAAAATAATATAAAAATAATAAAAAATTTAATTCAATAATATAATCAAACCAAAAACACTGAAATGTGAAATAGAGCGTCAAGTTCGCACATTGCTGAGCTCAGTCGCAAAATCGTTTTCAGTTTCTGATGATGAATTTCCCCCACGAATCATTATCACTCAATTCTGTAAGTGGTTCTAATTTACTATCGCTGTTCTCTAGCTGATCTAAACCGCTTTTGACCTAAAGGGACACTTTTTGGACGCCATGGACATTTCTCAGTTTCCAGGCAGAAAGAACAGACAAAATGCAGGCAGGGCGCAGGACAAAGCACTAGGGACAATATGTATGTGAAATAGGTTGAAACAGCAATGTTTTACTGTGTAAAATGAAAAAAAAAAAAAAAAATGACATTTTTTAAAATTTTTAAATTTCCCGCCGCCGCCGGCGGCGGCGCCCGTACGTCCCGACGTCACAGGGACAGGACACAGAAGCTGGATGCCGGCATCGGCCGAAGGAGATGGCCGGGGACGCTGCAGGGGACACATCGTGGGAGCGCAGGGTAAGGTAAGTGAAGAACACATGCCGGAGCAGCGCCGCATGGTATTCCCGAGTGTAGCTCGGGGTTACCGCTTTTGGTACTGAAATGTTACCCCGAGCTACACTCGGGAATACCGCCAGGGAGGTTAATGTTCTTTTTAGTGTGCTGTGGAATATAGACATTCTCTTTACTAAATAAATCGTATGCACCTAATAAACATATCCATTTTGGTGATTTGTGTTAACGCATGTGCTACCGCACATGTTACTGCAGTGCATGTTAACGCACATGTATGGGTGGAGTGCATAGCAGTGCCATTCACCTCAGCACTCTAAACCCACTACTGTGAATTGTGGTGTGCTGTGCCAGAAAATATACTACCTGTCCATTTTTGGTCCATTCTGGTGTGTTGGCTGCCCATTCATTTGCATTAACAAAACACACGCATTACATGTACCTTTTCTGATGGACATGTTTTTGATGGGACTGGATGACAAATTAGTCAGAGAGTCTAAATATCTACAGTAGAAAGGTTGGGAAAACAGCAGGGGAAAAGTCAGCTCTTCAGTAAATAGTTTGTTGGCCTTCAGAGCCACTGCAGGGACAACATAACGACACAATTCCTTGTCTATCTGAAAGCGGAACTTTATTCAGAAAATCAAGTCCAGGTAGATCACTTTAGGTTGGTTCCTTTTGCAGGTATAGCTATGTAAAACATTAACAACTTCCTGTCAGAGGTACTCATATATGTGGCTTTAACACGGCCCTATGTAAACACATTACTGTGCTGAGAGTGTGCTCCTTTCCCAGCACAGTAACCAGCAGGTACCAGAAAACTCCCAATGCATACATGGAGTTTTCTGATCATGTGACTGCTGTGGCTGCCAATCACAGTAGTCTCATGATCGGAATGCCTGCCTTCACCTCCCAGCATGTAGAACCTCTTAAAGCGCCAGGAGACAGCAAACGAAAGGGGTTACAAATATGTGCCTGTACTGTTTAAATTCCATTAACCTCCTTGGCGGTATTCCCGAGTGTAGCTCGGGGTAACATTTCAGTACCAAAAGCGGTAACCCCGAGCTACACTCGGGAATACCATGCGGCGCTGCTGCTCCGGCATGTGTTCTTCACTTACCTTACCCTGCGCTCCCACGATGTGTCCCCTGCAGCGTCCCCGGCCATCTCCTCCGGCCAATGCCAGCATCCGGCTTCTGTGTCCTGTCCCTGTAACGTCGGGACGTACGGGCGCCGCCGGCGGCGGGAAATAAAAATTTTAAAAAATGTAATTTTTTTTTTTTTTTTTACATTTTACATAGTAAAACATTGCTGTCTCAACCAATTTCACATACATATTGTCCCTAGTGCTGTGTTCTGCGCCCTGCCTGCATTTTGTCTGTTCTTTCTGCCTGGAAACTGAGAAACGTCCATGGCGTCCAAAAAGTGTCCCTTTAGGTCAAAAGCGGTTTAGATCAGCTAGAGAACAGCGATAGTAAATCAGAACCACTTGCAGAATTGAGTGATAATGATTCGTGGGGAAATTCGTCATCAGACACTGAAAACGATTTTGCGACTTTGCTCAGCAATGTACGAACTTGGCGCTCTATTTCAAATTTCAGTGTTTTCGGTTTGATTATATTATTGAATTAAATGTATTATTATTATATTATTATTTTTTGTGATTATTTATTAAATTATAATTTATGATTTCGTGTTTCAAATTTTATCATACCCGGGATGTTTACTAGACTCTTGTTCGGACAGATTTCAGTGAGTTATTCCTAAAAATTACAGGCCTACAATAAAAAAACTACATATTTCCATGCAAAAAAATGGTACCGCTTTCAGCACCAAAAATCGGAAAGAATCATACCGCCAGGGAGGTTAATACACTGTTTCACCCTGCTCTGCACATGCTCAGTTGCTCTCTATTCTCGAGGCCAATTTGCTGACAGCTTTAAGATTTACTGTTGCTGAAGGGGGAAGAAAGCAAAAGGAATAACACAGACTGTGCGGAGGGAACAGAGATTAGGGAAGGAAAAAAAAAGCAGGAGAGGTAACATGATAAACTATGCTGCCAACCTATAACAATAGTGTCTTAACTTATCTCCCCCCTTTCTACCCTATGGGCAGATCTGAGGTCTTCAGCACTGTTAAGCCTTTGTCTGCCTTCCTCTCTAACTGAGCCAAGACATACAATCAAGAATGGATCTATACATATTTTAATGGGGCAGCAGAGTAGCTAAATGGTTAGCACTTCCACCTGGCAGTAATAGAGTCATTGGTTTAAATCCCTATCACAGCACCAACCACCTGGAGCTTAAACGTTCTCTCTGTGCCTGCGTGGCTTTCCTCCGGGCATTCCTGTGTCTTCCCACACCCCAAAGATATGCTGGTAGTTTAACTGGATCCTGTCCAAATTGGCCCTAGTATGTGTATGTATGAATATAAGTTAGGGACCTTAGATTGTACGCCCCTTGAGGGTTAGGGATTGATGAGAATGTACAATATATGTGTAAAGCGCTGCATAAATTGATATATAAGTACCTGAAATAAATAAATAATTGAAATAAGTGACATACAGTTTTTGAGACCAAGGAGAAGGGGAGAGTTCTCAATAAGAAAGTGACTGTTTTGGGCTTCAGCAAAATGGCACCCTGTGAAAAGAAGAAACAGGAGCAATGCTGGAGGTGATTTACAGCACACGTTCATTTTGGTAGCATAATTATTAAAGTGGTTGTAAAGGCTGAAGGTGTTTTTACTTTCATGCATTGTATGCAAGAAGATAAAAAACTTTCTGTATCCTGCTTCTCCCACAGCCCCTCCCTATACTTACCTGATCTCCCGTTGATCCAGCCATGTGCATGGGAGCTTTGGTTGTCCTGGGTCGAATTCTGTCCTCATTGGCTCCCACTTCTGTCAATCACAACCAGTGAGGAAAGAGTGTGGGTGGGGCCAAGCCTCAGCTCTGTGTGTCTTATGGATGCATAGAGCAGGCTCGGGGGTGAGCACGCATTTGTGCCCACATAGCAAGAGGCTTGCTCTTGGGGGCACTGGTCAAAAGGGAGGAGCCAGGAGCATCGGCAGGGGGTCCCAGGAAAAGGAGGATCAGAGCTGCTCTGTGCAAATCCATTGCACAGAGCAGGTAAGTATGACATGTTTGTTATTTAAACAAAAACAAAACAAACCTTTAGAAACACTTTAAAGCAGAATGTATGTTCTTCTGTTAAAGAAAATTAATTGTTTGCAAATTGTTATGGTTAAAGTTCTGCTTGAAGCTCTTAATATACAATCCAGCGCTTTAATATTTGTGCAGGGTTACAAAAATTATTAAATGACAACACATGTGAATTTAAACTTCAGTAGCTTGCTGTGAGCCAGTCTAAAGGATTATTGTTATTATCCTGTAATTATAAATCGCTAGCATATTATGAAGCTTTATAATAAAATAATAAAGGCAAGTAAATTACAAACTCTGAAGAAAGCATTTACAGAAACTATTTACTTTGTGTATTAACCAGAAGTCTGACCTATATATTGTAAGGATTAGCAAACTTTTCTAAATTAAAGTGGTAATAAACCCAAGAATAAAAATGTAATATATTGCAGTTTACTAATCCTTAAATGTGGTGGCTGCATTAGTTTTCTTTTTTAGGCTTTTTCCCCCTTTATTTTCACCTTATAATCTGGCCAGTAATATAGTTCCTGTCCTAGGGTGTCTCCATTATGACGGAGGAGCAATGGGAAACCTTTTGATAGCAGTAATAGTCTGGGAAGAGGGTAGTGTTAGATGCAATAGCAGATTATGGACTTGACTAACAAATGAAAGGCTAACTACAGCTAACATGTTAAGTAGTTCCAGCAACAAAGAACTTGCCCACCTCCACAGCAAGGATAATAAAAGGCCTTCTAAAATTGCCTGTTGCTGTGGAGGTGGGAAAGTTCTCCCTTTATTTACAAGTACAAGAACTGGTGGATTTTTTTCAAGTGGTTAAATATAGCTGGGAAGGGTAAGTGTGGACTAAATTTGTTGATCTTAAAATTGGCAATCTCTATAAACTCACTGGCCACTTAATTAGACTTAACACCTGTTTAACTGCTTGGTAACACAAATTGCTAATCAGCCAATCACATGGAAGCAACTCAATGCATTTAGGCATCTAGACGTGGTAAAGTCTACTTTGTTCCAATCACCTCCATGGCCACAGGTGTAGAAAATAAGCACCTATGCATGCAGACTGCTTCTACAAACATTTGTGAAAGAATGGGTCGCTCTCAGGAGCTCAGTGAATTCAAGCGTGGTACCACCTGTGCAATAAGCCAACCGTGAAATTTCCTTGCTACTAAATATTCCATGGTCAACTATTAATAGTATAGTAACAAAGTAGAATCAACTGGAAACAACAGCAACTCATCCATGAAGTGGTAGGCCACGGAAAATTACAGAGCAGGGTCAGCGCACGTTGAAGCACATAGTGCGCAGAAGTCGCCAACTCCTGACCTCAACCCAATAGAACACGTTTGGGATGAATTAGAGCGGCGAGTGCAAGCCAGGCCTTCTTGTCCGACATCAGTGCCTGACCTCACAAATACGCTTTTGGAAGAATGGTCAAACATTCCCAAAGACATAGGGTAGATGATAAAAATAGGGATGTTTGTAAAATTCCCTATACAGGAAATGATATTCCCCCAAATCAATGATCTTATAATATCAATAAGAGTTTTGAGTTTGGCCTTAAACATAACTAGGGGATCACCCAAAAGTTTTTTGAAGGTGTGTTAGTCAGAAATGAGTCTGACAGCCTCACCTACATACGGTAATCAGATTTATTTTGAATAACAATGCCTCCTCCCTTGTCTGCCCTTTTTATAACTAAGTCATCAGAGGCAGATAAGCGGTCCAAAGCTAGTCTCTCTGGTCTGTTGAGATTATGGTTCTTATGAAGGCTCGAATGAGTAGTGGAGCACAATTTGAGTATATCTGCATACATGACCTGATAGAAAGTATCT